AACTCAAGCCCAGGATCGATTTATCCGTACCTTGGCCTTGAGAAATCGTGTCATCACAGCAAATCAGATCAGCGCTCGTCTTCAAACAGACACTGGTGTGAGAGTGAGTGGCCAGACGATTCGGAATCGACTGCATAGGGGTCACCTTCGCGCCCGACGTCCTCGCGTGATCCCTTGTTTGAGAGATCATCACATTCAGGCAAGACGTCGTTGGTGTAGGGATCGTCAACACTGGGATAATCGACGCTGGAGCAATGTGATGTTTTCAGATGAGTCAAGGTTCACTGTTGATTTTTTGGACAGACGTAGGAGGGTGTGGCGTCGTCGAAACGAGCGCTTCCAAGACGTTAACGTCATCAGACATGATCGATTTGGGGATGGTTCTGTTATGGTGTGCGGAGGCATCACTGTTGCTGGAAGAACGGCTTTACATGTTGTTGCAGGGCGTGTTACAGGCCAGTACTACCGGGACAACATCTTGGCAGTCCATGTTGTGCCGTTCGCACGATGTCATGGCCGCCGTTTCATCTTCCAGGATGACAACGCAAGATGTCACAGGGCCAGGATCGTTACAGGTTACCTCCAACAACAGAACATCACCACATTACCTTGGCCAGCACTGAGTCCCGACCTCTCCCCCATCGAGCATGTCTGGGACATGCTTGGACAGAGGTTACGTCAACGTCAACAACGTCCTGCCAATGTCCAAGAACTTGCTGCTGCGTTGCAACAGGAATGGGACAATCTGGACCAAAATGAACTTAGATGTCTCATTAGGAGTATGCCACGTCGGATCAATGCTTGTTTGGCAAACAGAGGAGGATTTACCCGTTACTGACTTGGTTGTGATGCTGTGGTAACTTTGCTGTTTGACCCCGGGTATCATTTTACCCTTATAATGGTCAGTCTGTGCCTTACTTAGTCTAACGATCATTTGGAATAAATCGATGAATGTGAACTTCATTTCATTTTGTCATTTGTTTCTTCGTCAGTTTCATTAGGTGACTTTAATAACACTTAAAAATCAAATATCCCCTACTTTTTTTGAATAGTATAGTTAAAAAATAGATAAGGACCTCATGTCATATTATAAAAACAAAATTACCTGTATTTTTAAAGGGGCATTAGGTAAGATTAGATACAGAGCTGACAGTTCTCGCTATAATAGTTAAAAAATAGATAATGAGAACAGAATATGCTGAAAATTTCAGTCAGATTGCTTCACTCTGAACCGAGATATTAGCTATTCAGTGTTAGGCTAGTCTTGGTCATCATTACTAAAATTGATAAGATAATAAAACAAAGTCTTGATTATCCATTTTTACGTTAAATTATCCATCACAAAATGTATTCAAATCCACTACATATTGCAGGCTAACGGTGACATTGACAGTTGATTATGGTCTGGTTAAGTTAATTAATGTCTAATGAGATGAAGGACCCTATTTAATTTCAATAATTTGAGTTAACTTCTTCTGGAGTTATGGCCCATGTTTCACTTTATTGCATCTTGTTAATGCTGTAACGACAAAAATTATCATCTGATCTGTATGAAATTTATATGCATCTTTTAAATTAGTGAAACCAAGAAACCTATTGAATTTCAACAATTACCATTAATTATGTCTGACCCTTGTTTCACTTTGTTGAACCTTGTGAACGACAAATGTTACCATCCGATCTGTATGAAATTGATATGCATTATTTAAATTAGTGAAATAAAGAATCCTATTGAATGTCAGCAATTGATTATTTGAATTATTGAAATGAAGACGTCTGTTAAATTTCAGCAACTACATAAGTTATCATCCTATGTGTGGGACAATTTTGTTTCCGTCAATTGCTTCTAGAGTTATAGTCCTTGTTTTAGTTTGTTGAACATTGTGAACGATAAAAGTCATCATCCGATCTATGAAATTTTTATGCATTATTTAAATAAGTAACACGAAAAAGGCTGTCAAATTTCAATAATTTTTGTATATTACTTCCAGAGTTAAGACCCTTGTTTCAGTTTGTAGCACCTTGTGAACCACTCAAAGGACGAAAATTATAGTCTGATCTATATGAAATTGTCTTGTTAATTCGACCAATTACCTACAAAAGATTAAATATGCAACAACCCTTGTTGACTGCTCGGACGATTTAGCTGCTGTGATCATATATTTCGTTGACTGGTAACCTATCTTTTACATAGTTTTGTAGCTCATTTTTCAAACCACCTGCAACTACTACTCCCACCTGCCTGCAACTACTACTCCCACCTGCAACTACTACTCCCACCTGAGTCATAGAAATGACAGGGTCATGGTGGCTAAGTCGGTACAGCATTTAGTTTGAGTGTTCGATCCCTGCATTGACCGAGAAAGTTCAACAGATTTTCCGGCATACGCCATGCAGTGGACTATGAGGGAAATTTTGCCCAGGCAGCGGCACTACAGCCTACTCTTACTTCGAATTCCAACTGTGAAGGGATCTTATACATGTATGCCAATGTGTTCACAGGATCTCATTTTTTTGTCCCATCCAAATGACTATACACTGTTCCTTGCCAGGTCCTACGTTATACACCATTGCCACCAGTTTCGAACAAGGGACCTCTCACTGGCTGAGCCACTGTGGCTCCCCTGAGTCGTAGAATTAGTAGTAGCTTACAGTATGGCCCTTAAATAGTTCACAGCTATTCACATGGGTTGTGTGGTTTGGGGAGCTGGAAGGAGATGTAATTTCAGGCAGTTTAGGTGCTAACGGGAAGTCACAATAAATGTCAAATATAGAACTTAAGCCGCATACACAACACAAAACACTTTTATTGAAAACATTATTCATTTCGATATATTCTCCCACTACTAAAGAAACCTATGTGCAAGCGATTCATGGAAATAAAATTGAATATGTTAGGCCCAAAATGACCTAGTTTACACTGAGTGGAATTTAAACCCCATTTGCCTCTTCCCCCAGTCCCCGCAGGATGAACTTTTAGTCAGTAACATTTACACTTAATTAAAAATTTAAACCCCATTTCCCTCTCCCCCAGTCTTCGCAGGATGAATTTTCAGTCAGTAACATTTAGACTTGCATACTGCACGCAGCATTCCATCTACTTCATACCTTGAACGGAGCTAACTGTAGACAGACGGCCTAAGTTTGGGATGAAAGACTTGAAGTATCTTATGTTTTTATTACGGGATCTCCTTTAACAAGCTTTTGGAACAACAATTTCTTGCCAATGCCATGGATCCTGCATGTGTGCTCAGGGCCACTGAACGCAACGAAAATAAAGACTATTGCGTGAAGGGGGTTGTATGGCTGAATGGTTAGCACGTGCGTGCTGTATCATAAGGTATGTGATTTGATAGAGTGAACTAGCGTGGTTTCGAATCCCCTGTTGTACGTGACAAGGAGTCGGGTCGCCTGCCCAACCTTGTTGGTTTTCTCCGGGTCCCCTGGTTTCCTCCCACTGCTAAAGACCCCAACGTGCAAGCGAATTATTGAAATAAAATTAAACCATATGTTAGTCCCAAAATGACCTAGTTTGTGTCGAGTGGACATTAAACCCCATTTCTCTCTCTTTCTCTATTTGGTGAATGTTTGCATTTTGCACCAGCAGTATCAGAAGGTCTGTGTCCCCCCAATTATTGTGGTAGAATGCAACTCTACAGCTTCAGTAGCTACCTTTACGATGTCGACATCCACATCTACAGATACTTAATGCTACAATTTCATATTTTTAAGTTATATTTTTAAAATTTATTAAAATAAAGCCTTAAAATAGATGGTATCCATAAACCGTCCTACCTTGTTAAAGAATAATCCTATTAATCCTATAATTCACTATTGCCAGCTGAGAAATTGGCAAAAATATCATTTTCAACTTCAAATTCCAACGTTTGAAGGTAGCTAATGCATGGAGGCAATAGGAAAACAAGGGAGGTAATTATGTTATTATTTCCTGTTTCAATGATTTTTAAGGGTGGGAAATAATGCCCATGGTCGTATAATAGTGAGTTGATAACCTATTGAGCAAAAGACATAGAAATAATTATGTTTTGACTTTCTTTGAAAATATGAAATTCTCGCTTTAAAATTGTACAACATTGCAACCCTATCTTAACTCCAATTCATCAAATAAAGCTGCAGTCACATGTTTTGAACTTTGGCCTTTCTATAGGCTCTATGAATATATAACAGTGCATCTGATGCAAACTATGATGTGTAGCCCATCGACAGCAGTTTATGGGTATAGCCCCCCCCACCCAAACATACCAAATATGCCAGTATACGACGAACTACCCAGAATATGGTATAAGGTACCAGTTAACACCCCTGAGCATATCTTCAAATAAAATATTAGCCCCAATTAGACCCCATTTCTGTTTCAATCCGAAGAATGGAATTTTGGTGCAAATAGCTCATTATAGCAATTGCAAACAACTATTATTGTATGACAAAATACCCCCACACTCTGGCAAAGCTGTTTTCATTGGTTATGGGTTAAAAAAAAGATCTATTCTGGTGCTGATAAATGTCACCAAAAAAAAATGTTTTTGGTGGATACCGACCAAAAGAAACATATTTCCCCGGTCTATGTCGTGTCTCTATTTTATCCACAAAGCTGTGGTCGCTCAGTGTTTTAGAGCGTTTGACCCAGGTGTTTGCCGAGAAGTGTCCCCCCCCCCCGTCAGTGATGCAGGAAAATGGCGTCTAGCAAAGGGCAATGTATAATAGTTCGAATGGGACAAAAATCCAGGATCCCTTGTACACATTAACATGCACGTAAAAGAACTCTTGGCAATTGGAATTTGGTGTTAGATGAGGCCGTAGTGCCGCTTTCCAGGCAAAATTTCCCTCATAGCACACTGTATGGCATACGCCCGTCTTCATTACCCCAGTCGGAACAGAGCAGTAGGACGTTTATCCCTATTTCATTCATTCATTTTTTATACACAGAGCACAGATTATTGTGAGTTAATAGAGTTTACTTGATCCTCGTCGCAATAGGAGATACAACCATGACTATGGCGGCCATGTTTTGTTTTAAGATGGCAAACACAAGGAGACAAAGACAATAAATTATCGTGCATTGGAACAGATTTATAATTGGAAATGGTATTTGTTTTATCTCATTAAATAATATCTGTGAAGACAATTGATTGTTGCATAAAAGTAGAACGTTAAACCCTGACCATAAACCCTGTTTCGTTTCAAAACAGACACATACATTATTATTTATTGACTTAAAATAATCAATATTATTTACAATTGCTACACCATTGACGTCATATATAGATATATGAGTATGACGACAATGTGCCACACACTGTCAACTATAGACACCCTTACACCTACATGTAGTACACCACACAGATCCACAGTGAATATTCGCTAGGCCACGACAATCACTGCTAAGGATGACATCGATGCGACTTCTTATGAGCCACAAATATTAACTTTTTTCGTCCGACAAATTAAATTCTAAAACATTTTTTTTATATATATTAGAAAAATAAATAAAGACATTTGAAGTATTTGTAGGCAAAAATTATTTCCTATTTTAGTGTGAATGGGTATTATTATTAGTAAAAGGCGCCATTCCCCTCAAATCAGTAGGCCTAACGTCTTATAAGTTATGGGGTAATAGACATAACGGCCCTAAACCATAACGGCCAAAATATTTGGTTGAAACGGCCAAAATATTTGGTCGAAACGGCCAAAATATTTGGTCGAAACGGCCAAAATATTTGGTCAAAACGGCCAAACAATTTAGTCATAACGGCCAAGAAAATATAAACCATTTTTTACATGCAGGAAATGATATTTATTCACAAAGATATTGCCTAACAGATTAAATACATACATAAGCTAATCATTAATTTAATACATGAAAAAAACCAAAAACGAATGGATTGCTTGTTGTTGTTTATTAAAGATTTAATGTCCAATACAGGTTGGTTTAATTAAATTATTTACACTTGAAAATTGTTAAAAACACAAAAGTCTTTTACCTTTATTACCTAATCACTGATCAGAGGGTGTGAAGTACCTAATTAGGGATTATTCAATCAGTTGATTAATTAGTACTCACCTCTTTCCTTTGTCTGACAAATGAATTGTTATTTTTGTCAAAGATAGGTATAATATTTGCTCAGACCACGTATGACAGAATGGAACCACCTTGTTAGCTAATCCAAAATAGATATAATATGCATACAGGAAACGAAATTAGATCCAAAGCAGAAGGACCCCAAACTGACAGGGTTAACTACTTTAGTGCATTAGGTGTAGTTATTCCTGAATTTAATGTTAATATAATATAAAAGATAGGTTGCCAGGCAATGAAACATACGCCCACAGCAGCTAAATCGTCCGGGCAGTCTACAAGAGTTGTCGCATATTTTTACTTTTTTCGATAATGAAACATTTATAATACACTAAAATCTGAATAAGAGGAACAACTCATAAAGTAATTATCAGAAAATCATTAGAATTTGTTTGGTTTTTATAAAATTCTGTTCTCATGCTAACATTTAGTATACAAAACATTTAATATCATGGATTTAGCTGTTTAGTTATCAAAATTCATTGAAAATCAATCTCAAGACCTTAAACTCTGTAAATCAACCTATCCATAATATTATCATATCTAACGTATTGGATGTTAAATCTTTAATAAACAACAACAATATCTTGTTTTTCATTAAATTAAAATGTTTGGCCGTTATGACCAAATCATTTGGCCGTTATAACCAAACTGTTTGGCCGTTATGACTAAAATAGGGCCGTTTTGACCAAACCTGTTTTTGGCCGTTATGGCATAGGGCTATTATGACTACATCCCGTCTTATGTAAACAATGCACGCGCCATTGAGCCAATGATTGACGCAGCGTGATATGACGTCATGTGTATAAGGTAGTCATCTTTTACAGAGATATTAGAAGATTTTTGTAATCATCTGTGAAACAGATTGGTAGTACACGTACATGTACTTCCACTCGAATTATTTGACATTAATGAGAGAAGTATCTTGTGTTTATTTATGACAGAGTAAGATGTTGGCTTGTTAACCTTGAGGTGTTGGCTGAGAAAATTCATTGAGACTTTCCATTGTGGTTCCTTATTGGCACTGGTTCAGGACGGAGGGCCTGGCAAGGGACAACATAGGATTATGTCCTTTCACCGTTCCTGTTCATCCCTATTAGTATAAGCTGCAATCTGATTAAAACACAGATCCTATTTTGTTTTACTTGTCTTTACTACACTAGGATCTGGAAGAGTTGTTATATAACACATGTTCTGAATGGCGTGAGGGATTAGCCAATGAAACAATCTGTTACCGCGATTGATTAATCAATGTTTGACGTAATAGGGTCAGAAGCTGCTCGTACGATCCCTGACTCGACCTTCCAGTACAGCTGGTCAGATCTTCATGTAGTGTAAGCCGTTGAAAGTATAAAAAAGCGAAACGAAATATAGATCTGTATTTTAATCAGATTGTGTAATATGAAAATAGCAATCTACCCCACCTTTGTTCAAAGGCTATTTTGGAATCCTTACCTCAATTTTTCATCGTTATTCTACTATGTTAGTCAAAAGGAATCATCTCACCACATCTGATACAATTTCATAGTAATTCAACATTATTGTCAAGTATAATTTTGCGATTCAAAAACATAAACAAAATATGTTTTGAACGCAAGCGTGAGTTTCATAATTACAGACCAATTCAAGCATATTTTTTTATGTTTTGTTTATGTCTTCATTAACCCATTCTGAGGAGAAGACTAGGATGTTAAACCCTATTTTATTTTTTTTATTTTTTACAGGAATCAAATGATGTTAAAGTATTCCATCAGTGTGTTGAATGTGATGAACTCTTTCATGAGTATGAAGATTTAGAAAACCACAACAAAATCCATGTTAAAATAGAGAAAACTGATGATGTTCCAATAGAGAAAACTGATGATGTTACAATAGATAACCATTCTGATGTCAACGTTAAAATAGAGACAGTCGAGGATGTTAACTTGAGTGACAATTCTGATTTTCACGCTAATGTGAGCTTACTTGGCCAGCCTAATTTTCATGTTAAAGAAGAGAAAAGTAATGATATTGACTTGGATAAAGATTCAGGTTTCCATGCCAATGTGAGCTTACTTGGCCAGTTTGATTTTCGTGCTAAAGATGATGGAATTAATGAACGTATCAAAGACAAGAAAGCAGATGATGATGATTATTTATATGAAAGCTTACCGATACATATTGAAAATATTAAAAAAGAAAAAACTAATGATGTTAGTATAGATGAAGATTCTGAGATAGGCGTCGATCTTCAAGAGAAGAAAACTGATAAATCTACATGTAGCCTGGGCGAACATGTCAAAGAGAACAATGATGTTACTATTGATACAAATTCTGAAGAGAAAACTGAAAGTAGCAATGCTCATTTAGAAGGAGAGAGAGGGTTTATATGTGGTGTATGTAATAAGGGAGTTAATCGTAAATACGATTTGATTGTCCACATGCGAACCCACACCGGTGAAAGGCCATTTGAATGTGATGTTTGTAGTAAAACATGTAGTACAAGCAGTGATTTAAACAAGCATAAAGTGATTCATTCCGACGAGAAACCCTTTAATTGTGATGTCTGTGGTAAAGCGTTTACAAGAAGTGGGGATTTAAACAAACATAAGAGAATTCACACGGGTGAAAAGCCATATAAATGTGATGTTTGCGGTAAATCATTCAGACACAGCAGTGATATTAGGAGACATGCCAGGATTCATACAGGGGAAAAACCCTTTATTTGTAACACCTGTAATAAATCGTTCAGCAGGAGCTGTTATTTACACAGTCATATCAGGACTCACACTAAGGAGAAACCATATACATGTCATATTTGTAGTAAATCGTTTAGTCAAAGCAACAACCTTAAAGTTCACTTCAAAATTCATGTCAGAACACCGGTATGAACACTTGTACCAACATACATTGTACCAATTCCTTCAAACAAATGAACAGCTCCCACTTTAAGACCGCTCTTACTTGAAGACAACTACATGTACATACAGAGCACCCCTCCCTCTTTAGAGTGATTTCAGCTTTCACTTTATATAAAGGCAATTAGAGTAGAGCCCTTCATGTACATGTAGGGTGACCCATGCACTCTACAGAAAGTTGGTCTCGACACGGCTAATATGCACGCTTCAGTGGTTGTTTCGAACTATCAGCTGTGGACTGTATGATACTATAAATAGCCATAGCACGTGCAATTCTCTACAAATCTATCAACTTTTACAGTCGTAAAAAATCTATTGTTGACAATTTTGAATAGCTTCTTGGTTATTACAGCAGCTTTAGAAATTACGTTTGTTTTATTTTTTAAATTGCTTTATCATTAACTGTATCGTTAAGAGCGGCATCTTTTGGTTTAGTACAAATATTATCTCTGAATCACTTTCGTTAGCAGGAACATGATACTAGCAGTAGTTTCATTTTACTTTTACAAGCTTCTTAAAACAATTGTTGAGCTGGCTAACGTGCGTTTTTCTAAATTCAATTTCTTGTTCCAGCTTTCTGTTATGTTTCGTAAAAAGGTAGTCTTGATTATCCCGACCTGTCAATCAGAATGGTCGGTACACTGGTTAAGCGAGACTAATTTCAAAACAAGGGCACGTAACCTATCTTTTACTCAAAAGTGTCTGGATGTTATGGATGAAACTTGGAACCAGTTTCAGTCTATTATTTATAAATCATGAAATGGTCATAGCTTATTAAGTACAACATGATCGTTTATTTAGTGACTATAATTGTGTGAAACTGATTTAAGGCTTGGTATATATATAAATATTGTGGCGTAATTGTTGAGATATTTGGAGATATTTATTTATGGTGGGTCACCCTACTTCATGTACATGTATACTGGTATCAGCTCTCACTTTAAGACAATTACAGTGCCCCTCATGATAGTGGTTTCAGCTCTCACATTTTGTGTCAATTTAAAAGAAAACCCCAGGAGTTCAGACTGACCATTCTACTACTTATTGTCACATACAAGCTTGGGATTTAACCCACGACTTGCATATATAACAGGCTGTATGATCTGTAGCCAACTCGGTAAACACACACACCCTGACACCTACTGACATCTATATAGCTGTAGAATATGTATGGGTGTTTACATGTAAATGTATATGTGCGATATTGCAATTATTATATTCACTCAATCACTGCATGTAAAAGATACCTTGGCAGATGGAATTCATTGAAGAGTAGACAAAACGCACTAGTCTGAGCAATATTACCCCCGTTGTATTGCACACGTAACCATAGAAACAAAAAAATACTGTTCATGTTAGTTTCAAAATGACATATAAGATGAACGGGATATTGAAGGATTCTATTCCAATTCAAATACTGGAAAAATATATTTTTATTGTAAAGTGTGTTGTAAATAAATGGTACATGTTGGTCATATATTATTTGACACATCATTTTAAATTATTTATCAGTGTTTTAAAATCAATGTTTGAATATTCCTATCTTTTTTGTTATTTGTTAAAATATTTTTGTTCATGTATTTATCTGTAAGTTTTATCTCATGAAATGGAAAAAAAATGGAATTTCCCTCAGCACATAATTGTGTTACTATTTATAGTACAGTACTAATCTACAGCACAATACAAAAACTTCTAACTTTCTGATTGGATGGTGATTTTAATAATTTGTCTTAATTATCTACATGTACATGTAGCATACCCTGTATTTTGAAAGGCTGGTCATTCAAGATTATTGCTACATTACGGGTAACTGTGCTTGTGCTACACATTCAGTTGTGATGCCAGAGGTTGAGAGTTTGAAAGAAACCTGTATGGTAAAGTGGGAAAACCAGTAAGTGGTTGATCGGTTTTTATGTTGTTTTGAATGTTTTCAGATTTAATCTTCTATAGTATACTGAGAGAGATTGGGCTTAATACCAAGAATTATTTTTGTTGAAGTCTGGTTATATTAAAGGGAACGGAGGCTTAAAAATTTTAAAACCCAGTTCCTACTGGGACCTCATTTGACCCAATTCTGGCCGATTCGTTTCAAAATGGATTAAGAACCCTAGTCCACTCGGCACAAACTAGGCCCTTGTCAGGCCTAACACGATTTAATTTTATTTCAATAATTTGCTGGTGCATATCGGTCTTTAGAAATGAAATGAAATGGGGTTTAATGTCCTAATGTTCTGCTCCTAGGGTCTTAAGTTGGAGGAAACTGGAGAAAACCCACATGGTTTGACAGGCAACCTTACTTCTTGTCACATACAAACTGAGAATCGAAACCATGCCACTTGACTTTATGACAGACCTTATGATCTGAAGCACATGTTAGACCCATCAGCCCCACTCCAGACCCTACAGTATGGCAAACAGTGATTAATAAGAAATTGTATGTTACGTTATTTTTGTTTTAATATGCATTTCAAGAGTATGATTTTTTAGTAATTGTAAAATTTATGAGAACAATTTTGTTTTGTTATAAGTTTTAAAGAAGCATTTCAAGAATTTGTTTAATTCCAGCAATTAGGGAAGATGTACAGTATAGTTAACCGTGTTTAATAAGAAATTGTATGTTAATGTCATTTTTGTTGTTATAAGTGTTAAATATGCAGTTCAAGAATATGATTTTTAGTAATTGTAAAATTTATGTAAACAATTCTTGTTTGGTTTTAAGTGTTAAAGATTAAAGATGCATTTCAAGAATTTGTATAATTCCTGAGATTAGGGAAGATGTAAAAAAAATGAGTTACTCACCATTCCTATAAAAAAAAGTGCAATGTTGTTATGGTATATTTTAAATATAGTAAATAAACATGTATTGTACACTAGTTTTAGTAAATATATCGAAGTATAGTTATTGTTGTTTATTTATTAAAAACCAACCACGTCCAGCCATTGTGTGGAATTACAGCGTACTGTATATGTGATCTGCGACAGCAAAATTGGGCTAAGATCAGTCAAGTCCCTATTTATGTTATATTAGCAAAATTGTCAAAATTGGCCAAAAATATATATAAAAAAGGTTTGCTTTTTTTGTCAAAATTAAAACTTTTACATTTTTGTGTTATATCATTGTTTAGCCGAATTGTCACACATTACGATCATCTACAGACTTATTGAATCTTGCTTCGATCCCTGCATAGCCCGAGAAAGTTTGTCAGGATTTACCGACGTGGTTTCTCCTTGTCAGTGGTGCAGGACGGTGGTGGTGGTGGTGGGGGGGCTGACAAGGACTACTGTCTAGTCGTTCGGATAAGACGTAAAACCGAGGTCCTGTGTATACATTGTTGTGCACCTAAAAGATCCCTTGGCATTTGGAATTTGATACAAAGGTTGAAATAAGGTTGAACCATGTGTTAGTCCTAAAATGACCTACATGTTGTTTGTGTCGAGTGGAACTTAAACATCATTTCCCCCCTCCCTTCCTTAAATTGGTTGGCTACTAAAGTAACGTTGTTTACATGAAGTTACGCTATAGAGAAATAAAGAATGGGTATTATGGAAGTCAAGAGATTAAAGATGCAGTACGCTATAGAGAAATAAAGAATGGGTATTATGGAAGTAAAGAGATTAAAGATGCAGTATGCAAGACTTAAATCTTTCGTTTGGTCCCAAAATGTTATAAATCATTAAACATACATTATGCAAGAGCTAAATCTTTCTATTGCAGGTCTTTCTTTAGGGCTGAAATGTTATCTAAATTATTAATTAGACATTAATTAACCTATCCAGGCCATAATCAACTCTCGATGGCAGCGCTAGCCTGCGATCTTAAGTGGATTGTAAGCCGATTTACTGCATAACTTTCCTTCTCGATTAAACGATTAAATGGATAATCGAGACTATGCTGTTTATCATACTGACTTTAGTAATGATGACCAAGGCTTATGGGAATTTCAGTCGCTTAGTTCTCGGTTCATCGTGGGTCAATTTGAATGAAATTTTCACCAAATTGCCTTTACATTATCCAGTTTTTAACTATTATAGTGAGAACTGCCAACTCGTTACCGAATCTCCCATAATGTATCTTTAATTAGGCATTTATTGATCACATGCCAAGCCCATAATCAACACTCAAGACCATCGGATGATTTTGATTTTAAACATACAAATTTACCCGAGTTATTGTCTGATATTAAATCTTTTCTCTTGTTGCGAAGGTCATGGTAAAAACCACTGTGACCATCTCAATTATAAGGTCCATCCATGCAGCTGGTACCACATTAAAATCTTATTAGGTGACATTAATTATGCAGTATGAATGTTTGTAGGCTTTATGTAAAAGTAATGATGAAAAATGTGTCTGACCAACTTGATATGAACAAATACTGCTACAAAGGCTACGTTAATATCAAATTTGCTTGAAATTCACTGAGCAGTTTGTGAGCAAGATGTCTGAATACCTCTTTTCAATGTAGGGCCTACCACTTTCGGGATTGCTCAAGCAACATTCCTACTGGGTTTAGTTTAAAATCCATCTAGTGGGCTTAGAGTAGAATTCTAAAGCGTGAAAAAGTATAATTAAACCCCCGCCGCCACACCCACATCCCACACGAATATACTATACACAAGTCCTTCTCCGTAGTTTTGACGAAACCAACCGGAAGTAACATTTTCTCATGACGCGGAGGAGTTGGCGAGGTCAAAACTGATAAGAGCAGTTCTAATTTTCAGGCCATTAAATTATTAAACATCATATACATTTGTGCAAAGAAATCCACACAATTTTAAAACATAAGTTCTGAAAATGAATCAGACGAAGGAGCTGGAAAATGATATGAAAATGGATTACGAAGAGACAAATTCGGAGAGGTAATTGCCAGCTAACTCGTCCACACGAAAAGTCTAGCTCCAAAGTTCAATCGTGTAATTTGATAAGGGCGTTGAGCAGTCTAAAATGCACATTTTAAATTAGCTAGCACTGTAATTTTTGTTGATAAGATTTGACTCTTTTTTGTTACTTTGGATGGTAAACTACATATTAATCAGCCAAAAAATACCATTTCAAATATGATGTTTGTAAAAGCAGTCAAAATGTTAATCCTACCTTGTAAAGAAAAAATCATAATAGATTTATAGACTCAATTTTAACACAAGTAATTATAAACAGGTAGGTGATATCTAGGAAAGTGTACTATATGACTACATGAAAATTACTCAGATCTTACTGACAGCCACAACAGGGAATTTGTGTGATTGGATCTGATTGTTTATTGGATTACTAGGCTTGTCATTAATTAACAATAAGTGGTGTGATTAAAGTCTTGTATATTGCTACCGGAGTTTTATACTATAAAGTGTGATTTATTTTTAACTTTGTTTAATGTGTATTACTAAGAAAATTTTACACATTTGTCAACCAATTTAGTGTATTACATTCAACACTTGTCTAGATCAGGAAGGTCCTACTAAATAATAAAATATTGGTTTGTAAAGGAATTGAATCGCCACCAAATGTCTCGTTATATGAAATAAAATGATATTTACAAATTAAAATATTATACAAAGTAGGCCTACAATTTGTCTGTCATTTTTTCAACTTCACTCATTACAAAATATCGCATTCGTTGCAGTAATTATACTGATATGAGGCTATTTGATATTGGGTTACAATTTGATAATACTGGGTAGTATTTATTGTCATGCAAACATATTTAAAACACTCTCGTCATTGGTCTGATCATGGTCTGAATCAGCCAAGAATCTGGTCCCAATCAGCCAAGAATGTGAAGCATCTTCTCTGTGATTTAGCTCATTTGTATTGAAGCCGTCATTCACTAATTACACTATTATTTGTGACTAATTACACTATTTATTGTCTAGTTGTCTTATTATCAAAAATATGCAAACATATTTTAAATACTCGCGTCATTTAAGTAATGGTCCGAATGAACCTTGTCGTGGTTCCAATCAGCCAAAAATCTGGTCCCAGTCAGCCAAGAATCTGGTCCCAATCAGCCACAAATCTGGTCCCAGTCAGCCAGGTCCCAATCAGCCATGGTCCCAATCAGCCAATTACCTATGTTCCAAACTTGGCCCAAAAGCAGGATAAAAGGGTGCCGATTTTCTCAGTTATGCTTGCATGGATTTTCTTTAAATTTGGCATGAACAATGCTAATACTAATAGAAAGTCCAAAAAAGCCATTGGTCAATTTTTGACTATAGGCTGTGGTTTGTCGGGTATCCATGGAAATGCAAAAAACGATAAGTTTTCTTGGAAATTCTACATGACATGTATTAATACATGCTAAAAAGAGATATCGTTAATCACACCAGTAGATGGAACGTAGAGGCTATAAGCAGCAACATTTTGACATCAAAAACGTTGGAAAATATCAACTCAAAGTATTTTAAAATCGTTCATCATTATTCACCTTCAAACGGGATTTTGTGATTTTGGGTTAATTCTTTGAATACGTCCACAACAAGTTTTAAAATACAACAATTCGGATGTAAAAAGTAAATATTTACTTCAGTGCACTACTCGGCCGCTCTAAAAATCAATTTATACATTCAAAAATAGCAGTCTTCGACCAACAAAAAATGAATTCAGCCACGTTCCAATTGCGATAGATGATAGACCTGGATAATCACGTCTTAGAAGGATTTCCTTCTGACCTCATATCTAGATGGACATGAATAATCCAGTGTGTATAGGCCTACGACGTCATAATTTATTCAAGAACTGATCTAGGTCGGGGAAACCTTCTCATTTGCTATAAGTAGCTGTTTTCTTTCCACTTATACCTCCATTATTACACAACACACAGTCGGACTGTTAGGTGTCCTCTGGGTTATTTTACACATGGAACAGGTGTGAAAAGTCTTAATAAGATTGGTGTTGAAAAGCTAGTGCGTATCTTAGACTACTCAATGCCCTTAAAATGTAATGATCCCCGCAGTGGTTATGATATTCAGAAAATATGATAACTGTGGAAGCTTTTGTGCATGTAATGACTTATACTCGTAGGATGGTGGATGCGTATGAATGAATATTTTCATTATTTAATTAAGGAGATTCATGGCTGTGTTATTTGGGTCTTTAAAATAGACGAAAATGAGTTTAAAAGCACATATTAATATAATAGGAATGTATTACGTATGTTGAGCGGTGATTGCCCATCGCGGGGCAGATTACCCCGGCGCATGCGCAAATCTCAGTCTATTTTCCGTTAACTAATCTGCAGCGCACGGAGTTAACTCTGACCAAGGTATTTAATGGATTACTGCGATGATAATCCGATCGTCTGCGATATCACCCAAGGTGGAAGCAGACGTAAAAACCCATGAACGAACCATAATAATCTCTGCCTAATCCTACTCGGTATTCACAGTGATCACTATGTTAGTATTATACGTTTTAATGAATTTTGTGACCGTCAGTTTACTGGTATAGGTACGAGCAGGACAGCATGTACAAATAATTGAAAGCTGTAAACCACCATTGATTTAATCAAAATCGTGGAGTTGCTTACAATAATATATTTTAGTGGGAACTGACCTCTGTGGATAGAGGACAGACCCTACATGGGACGTCTGACATCTTTAAAAATATCGAGGAGTAATCAGCACAAAGTTGACAATCTGGGCACAGTTTGATACATGCAGATTACAATCTGCGCACACAGGGTCCAATCTGCACAGACAGAGTGGACTCTGTGCAACATGGTACAATGTAGCACAGATTGCAATCTGCAATCTGCCTGAGTAGTGAAGAATGCACTCAACATGTATAATATAAAGGGATTTATATTCAATTTTTAAAACATTTCTAAATCTAATCAATTAATATGTTCGCTGAAATATGGAAACAGTCCATATTGAACGGTGGCTTTTTAGTCCATTCTACACATTTTTATACATTTTATATGTGGATGTATATTGTAGTCGCCCCTGTCCGTCCATCCACAATTTGTTTGTGGACACTCTACAGGTCACAATTTTTATCCGATTTTGACGAAACTTGAAATATAGGTCTATCTTCCAAAGATCTCGGTTTCTTTCGATATTGGCATGTATCGGACCATAACTTCATGTATTATATGGGCCCTGATTCTACGAAAAATCACGTTTTTAGCTTGTGGACACTCTAGAGGTCACAATTTTGATCCGATTTTGATGACTCTTGACATGCATGTTTAAAATCCAAAGATCTTGGTTGCTTTCGATATTCGCGCATATCGGATCGTAACTTCCTGAATGATGGCCCCTGATTGTACGGAAAATCACGTTTTTAGCTTCTAGTCCAACAAGAGGTCACAATTTTTATCCGATTTAAAAAAAAAAACGTTAATGATGGTAAAGTTCGAATTTTGTGAAAATCAAACCTAAACTGTCGGACGCAAATAATGTAAAATATGGTATGTCAAGGTTGTGGACACTCTAGAGGTCACAATTTTCATCCGATTTTGATGAAACTTGAAATGCATGTTTATAACCCAAAGATCTTGGTTCCTTTCGATATTCGCGCATATCGGATCCTAACTTCCTAAATGATGGCCCCTGACTGTACGAAAAATTGCGTTTTTAGCTTCTGGTCCCTCAAGAGGTCACAATTTTTATACGCCCACATTTTCATGTGGACGTATTATGCCATCGTCCCTGTCTGTCCGGACGTCCGTCCACAATTGTTTGTGGACTCTCTACAGGTCACAATTCTTATCCGATTTTGTCGAAACTTGAAATATAATAGGTTTATCCCCAAAAGATCTCGGCTGCTTTCGATATTGGCATGTATCCGATCGAAACTTCATGGATTATGGCCCCTGATTGTACGAAAAATCACGTTTTTAGCTTGTGGACCCTATAGAGGTCACAATTTTTATCCGATTTTGTTGAAACTTGAAATGTAAGTTTATAACCCAAAGATCTCGGTTCATGTCGATATTCGCGCATATCGGACCGTAACTTCCTGAATTATGGCCCCTGATTGTACGAAAAATCGCGTTTTTAGCTTGTGGACCCTATAGAGGTCATAATTTTTATCCGATTTAAAAAAACGTATTATTATATCACCGTTACACCCTAAGGAAAATTGGCCCAAAATTGACAGAGAAAATGGCCACCGTTTGTTCTCAAATAGCGTAAAAATATGGTATATCAAGGTCGTGGACCCCATAGACATCACAATTTTTATCCGATTTTGTTGAAACTTGAAATGTAAGTTTATAACACAAAGATCTCAGTTCCTTTCGACCATAACTTCCTGAATTATGGCCCTGATTGTACGAAAAATCGTGTTTGTAGCTTGTGGACCCTATAGAAGTCAAATTTTTTATCCGATTTAAAAACCCGTATTATTATATCACCAATACACCCTAAGGACAACTGAGTTCGAATTTCGTGAAAATCGGCCCAAAATTGACAGCCAAAATGGCCGCCGTTCTTTCTCAAATAGCATAAGAATCTGGTATATCAAGGTTGTGGACCCTATAGAGGTCACAATTTTTATCCGATTTTGTTGAAACTTGAAATGTAAGTTTATAACACAAAGATCTCAGTTCCTGTCGATATTCGTGCATATTGATTTGTAATTTCCTGAATTATGGCCCTTGATAGTAGGAAAAATCACTTTCTTGTTAGCTTGTTCTCTATCCATCTCTCGAAAATGTGGGCGTATCCTGCCTGGCAGCCCCTGGTTAACCGATTTAAAAAAACGCTTTAGTATATCACCGGTGGCTAGGTGGTTAAGACACTGGCTCGCTAGTCTGGAGGTCGGGTGTTCGATCCCTGCATTGGCCGAGAAAGTTCATCTGGATTTTCCGACGTGGTTTCCCCTTGTTAGTGGTGCAGAACTGAGGGCCTGACAAGGATTACTGTCTAGTCCTTCGGATGATACGAAAAACTGTATGGCGTATGCCCGTCTTCATTAGCCCAGAACAGTAGGACGTTAAACCCCATTTCATTTCGTGAAAATCGGACCTAAACTGCCGGACGCAAATAATGTAAAATATAGTATATCAAGGTTGTGGACCCTCTAGAGGTCACAATTTTCATCCGATTTTGATGAAACTTAGAATGCATGTTTATATCCCAAAGATATTGTTTCCTGTAGATATTCGCGCATATTGGATTGTCACTTCCTGAATTATGGCCCCCTGATTGTACGAAAAATTGCACTTTTAGCTTGTGGTCCCTCTAAAGGTCACAATTTTTATCCGATTTAAAAAGACGTTTTAGTATATCACCGTAGCACCTAATGATGGTTGAGTTTGAATTGTGAAAATCGGACCAAAACTGTCGAACAAAATTGCTGCCAATAATGTAAGATATGGTATAATATCAAGGTTGTGGACCTCCTAGAGGTCATAATTTTGATCCGATTTTTATGAAACTTGAAATGCATATTTATAACCCAAAGATCTTGGTTCCTTTCGCCTATATCGGTTCATAACTTCCTGAATTATGGCCCTTGATTGTACGAAAAATCTCCTTTTGAGTTGTGGTCCCTATAGAGGTCACAATTTTTATCCGATTTAAAAAAAAAAACGTGTGAATGTATCAGACAAAAACTGATTGTACAAAAAATCGTTTTTGTTTTTAGCTTGTTCTCTGTCCATCTCTTGCAAAATGTAGGCGTATCCTGCCGGACAGCCGCTGGTTTTAGTAATATTTTGGCGTTTACATGTATGAAACAGCCATTACTACATGTAATTTCTTATGCACTCCTGATAGGACATGCTTTTCTTTGTTCATTACAAATGGCGTCTAAAGCCATTGAGTACATGACTCTGATAGGGATTTTTATACGCCCACATTGAAATGTGGTCGTATATTGTCGTCGCCCCCGTCCGTCCGTCGGTCCGGCGTCCACAATTGCTTGTGGACGCTCTAGGGGCTAAAGTTAATATCTGATTGACTTTAAATTTATACACAGTGTTTAAGGTCTTGAGACAAAGAAGCCTATTGATTTTCAGCGATTTCCGATAATTACTGCCAGAGTTATGGCCCTCGATCACTTTGAAAAATCTTGTGGACGCTCTAGGGGCCAAAGTTAATATCCAATTGACCTTAAATTTATACACAGTGTTTGAGGTCATGAGACGAAGAAGCCTATTGATTTTCAACGATTTCCGATAATTACTGCTAGAGTTATGGCCCTTGATCACTTCAAAAAATCTTGTGGACGCTCTAAAGGCCAAAGTTTATATCCGATTGACTCTAAATTTATACACAGTGTTTATGGTCATGAGATACAGAAGCCTATTGATTTTCAGCGATTTCCGATAATTACTGCCAGAGTTATGGCCCTTGATCACTTCAAAAAATCTTGTGGATGCTCTAATGTCCAAAGTTAATATCCGATTGACGTTAAATTTATACACAATGTTTAAGGTCATGAGACGAAGAAACATATTGATTTTCAACGATTTCCGATAATTACTGCCAGAGTTATGGCCCTTGATCACTTCAAAAAATCTTGTGGATGCTCTAGTGGCTACATGTAAAGTTAACATCCGATTGACATTAAATTTATACACAGTGTTTAAGGTCATAAGATGATGAAGCCTATTGGTTTTCAGCGATTTCTGATAATTACTGCCAGAGTTATGGCCCTTGATCACTCTGAAAAATCTTGTGGAAGCTCTAGAAGCGAAAGTTAATATTCGTTTGACTTTAAATTTATACACAGTGTTTAAGGTCATGAGACGATAAAGCCTATTGATTTTCAGCGATTTCCAATATTTGCTGCCAGAGTTATGGCCCTTGATCACTTTGAAAAATCTTGTGGATGCTCTAGAGGCCAAAGTTAATATCCGATTGACTTTCAATTTATACACAGTGTTTATGGTCATGAGACGAAGAAGCCTATTGGTTTTCAGCGATTTCCGATAATTACTGCCAGAGTTATGGCCCTTGATCACTTCAAAAAATCTTGTGGATGCTCTTGAGGCTCAAGTTAATATCCGATTGAGTTTAAATTTATACACAGTGTTTGAGGTCATGAGACGAAGATTCCTATTGATTTTCAACGATTTCCGATAATTACTGCCAAAGTTATGGCCCTTAAGTTATCATCCGATTGACTTCAGATTGATACACAGAGTTTAAGATCTTGAGACGAACAAGTATATTGATTTTCAATGAATTTTTATGACTTGAAAAGTTAAATCTATGATATTAAAAGCTTTGCATACAAAACGTTAGCATGGGGCAGAACTTTATAAAAACCAAACAAATTCTAATAGTTTTCTGATAATTACTTCGTGAGTTGTTGCTCTTAATCAGATTTTAGTGTATTATAAATGTTTCATTACCGAAAAGTAAAAATATATGTGACAACCCTTGTTGACTGCCCGGACGATTTAGTTGCTGTGGGAGTATGTTTCGTTGCCTGGCAACCTATCTTAAAATATTCACTGCGTTTTTATCATTAGATTTTGATCCCAAATTGTCATTGCAATTGAAAGGGACCAATTGAATTCTAATTCATGTTTTTAATTCCTAATATGGAAAATATTGTGTTTGATGTTTAGCTCCTTAAAAACTTTACCAAAAACTTTTATTTTTCTTTTATTGTAGCGAGGATGTGATTGATCTGAATGAAAAATCCTCTAAGCCAGATAGGAAAAGAACCTTCAAATGCATTGTCTGTAAGTTAAGTTTTGGTAAAGAAGTTGATCTACAAAACCACATCAAAATCCACATAACAAGAACAGCATACAGATGTGAAGTGTGTGATGCACCGTTTTCCAGGAAGGATAGTCTTGAAAAACACCTTAAAACTCACTTCGTGGCAACAAAACCCACACATGAATGTGTAGTTTGTAGTGAGCTGTTTAATAATAGAAGTCTTTTAGAAGAACACATGGAGACACACATTGATGACAAATCCTATATGTGTGATGTCTGTGAAGAATCTTTTTCTCAAAATACAGACCTTAAGCAACATATGAAAATTCATTCTGAATCTGAAACTGTGAGGAAATCTTTTGAATGTGAATTTTGTCTTAAATCTTATAAATGCAAAAGAACTCTACAGGGTCATTTGATCATGGTGCATTTGAATGAAATTTTTGTGGAAAATAAAACCAGTAACCTTCTGTTGGAATCTGACGATGTTAGTGGTGATAATGATGAGATTAGCAGTGATGATAATGAGGGGATTAGTGATGATGATGATGATGATAATGGCATCAGCGATGATAATGATGACATGGGTGATGATGATAGTATTGCTGATGATGACTACGAAAATGACATCAACAATGATAATGTTGACATCAGCAATGCTGATAATGACATTGATGACAAAAACATTGATAATGATGCCAGTGATGAGGTTGACATCCACGATGCAAATGCTGATAATGACATTGACGACCAAAACATTGATAATGATGCCAATGATAATGTGGACATCCACGAAGCAAATGCTGATAATGACATTGACAACAAAAACATTGATAATGATGCCAATGATAATGTTGACAACCGGGAAGCAAACAACGACCATCTACAAGCAGACATGAGAGATAATTCTGCCGAAATGCCCTCAACAGCTGATGAGTTAATAGCCACCTCTTCTGATGCCCAGAATCATAGTCCTAAGAAACCAGGAAGAAAACAAACGTACAGATGTGCTGTTTGTAAGGAAAAATTTCGAGAGGAAAGCGATTTAATACTTCATATAAAAACTCATATCGTTAAAAAACCATTCAAATGTGAAGGTTGTTATGAATCATTTACAGAGAATACCGGTTTAGAAAATCACAAGTGTCTCTTTACTCGTATCCTTCTTGAAGATACTAGTAAAACTTATAAATGTGTAATCTGCAGGGAATCGTTCACTGATAGGAATCAATTGCAAACTCATATAAAAGTTCATATTGGCGAAAGACCCTACACATGTGAAATTTGTGAAAAAACGTTTACTCAAAGCACAAGCGTAAAGCGACACATGGCACTACATAGTGAGGAACGACCATACAAATGTCAACTTTGTGACAAATCATATTTTCGAAAACAATGTCTAGACTATCACATGAAACTTCATGGTTCTGATTTAGTAAAGAAACGTTACAAATGTGACTATTGCTATAAATCGTACAATAACATGCGGAATATGAAGGCACATTTGATGAGATTACACACAGACAAAAAACCGTTTAAATGTACCGTTTGCCAAATTTCATTTTCTGTGTATCGTGATCTTAAGAAACATAAATCCACACATCCAAAGAAGCCATCTTATCATTGTAATAAGTGCAATAAATCCTTTTTCCGAGAAGAGGGTTATCAGAGTCACCTGAAAAGTCACAAACGGACAAAATTCCCCTGTGATGTTTGCGCGAAAGTTTTTAGAAGGAAACAAACCGTTTATGCACATATTCGACTAAAACATCCTGACCATAAACCCCATACATGCGATGTGTGCTTTAAAACGTTTACCCTATATGAAACTTTACTAAAACATCGGCAGATTCATGGTGACGAGAAATTACATAAATGTCACATTTGTCCACGGTCATTTATTCAGAAAGTCAGTCTTCAGGATCATATTCGACTTCGTCATGCGAAAGACAACCTCGTAACCAGATCCAAAAGTGGTCAACTGATGAAAGGCCTGCCAAGCGAGGATACCATTATCAATAAGAATGTTACTTGATAATCACGAATATGTGGGTGGAGTTATCATCTGTTAATCGAACGATCAGCAATTGTCGTAGACGGTGCGGACACAGTTGATGCCTATTACTAGTCCAAACTTCCAACAGTGACAACTCAATTCAGAATAAAGTACATGTAATTTGGTTTAAATTTTCAATATTTTCTTTTTTTTTTATCATCTATTTTAAAGGAGCTAAATCGCTAATATTTTAAACCTAGAAATTGACATACATGTAAATGGGTCGCAATGCATATAATAATGTAATATGAATGTATATAAACTGATTTACATTCAATCGTTTCCGTTTATTATTCCAATCTACACCGATAGTATTTATTGCGCATGCTCTCCAGATAAGATATTGTGTCACCGTTTGACATGACTTGTGGGGTATGTCTGGCCTCGTTTTTCGAATCCATTGTTACAAATGGCGCTGAAACGTATTATGGTACACGATTCGTGTACCAATAGCAAAATGTTTATTTTGTCTTAAATATTAGATATCAGAAGCCCATCTTTTACCGGTAAGATCACAACATCAATGTTGATTTAAATTGACAAATAATTTGTGTTTTCAATATCGAAAATTTTGGATGATACTGAGTTAAGAGACTTACTGTCTGTTCCAGGTGACACTACGACACGAAAATTGGTTGCCATTTCTTCAATTTTTAATTTAGACGACTAAAACTTAGTGACATACCTGGAATTGCCATCCCATTACTTTCTTACACGAGGAAACCAAATTCAGATCAAGCTATATAACCTCTCTCTCATGAAAAATCATAGTTTGTTTACATCCCGCTGTTGAACATCAGCCATGTTTGACCTAGTTATCCGGAAGAGTCGAAGAGGGAGGGGGCGTTGGTTCAGCCATGTTTGACCTAGTTATCCGGAAGAGTCGAAGTGGGAGGGGGCGTTGGTTTGGCTCGAGTCGTTTCGGTCTACTTAGATGTCAAGGAAGTTGTTTCGGCCCAGTAGAATATATCTTTTATATTTACGGAATCTAAGACCACCGCAGTTTGTCCAACTGAGTTGAATATTTAATTGGCCCCGAGGGCTGTAGCGTTTTGATATTCATATAAACTGCGTACAAATTTTATCCTGAACTGCGTGTGATGGAAATTTTGAAGGGGGCTATAGGTGTACACAATAACTTGGTCCATAATAAGCAAAAGTAATCGCGGATTGCATAGTTAATATAAGTTATTTCCTTGCTTACGACTTTGCCTTTAGACAATTTAAAGTTGAATTTAGACTGGAGTAATGATTAGACTAAATGTATATGTAACCTAATTTCTCGTGAAGCTTACAACAAAAGTAAAACGATTTTTATATAATAATTATGTCTGGCGTATTATCGCCCGGTTGATGCTGGCGTGCCATTAAACGTCAATTACATCATTTCATTTCATATCTTCAATCAAGGTTATGCAACGCAGAACACATATTCCTGAAGCTATTGTCTCGAGAAATCCCTTTCTGGCCATTTCTTGATTGACTTCTGATACTTGAGCTTTTGCGGGAGTGTGTCTATTCTTCCCGTTCAATCAAATCTATCCCAAGTACAGCAACATCACAGCGCTTTGTTTAATCTGGGGTCTTCCCTCAAACTTTGGACAGTGATTTAAGGTATTAAAAACGGTGAAAGTATTATTCGTCCCCAAACAGTATTGTTTATATTGTATCCGTTTTGAGAGCCTCATTTGTCACGCAATAAATTTTTCTGCAATTTTGGCTATGTACTTGTTAATTGGGCGTAAATTTCTTGAGGCATGACGTGTCATTATGTAAAGATATTTGGTCCAATTGGAGCTCTTTTTAAAGCCTAATGAAATTGTTATGCAGTTAGCTATTGGTTGTTAATCGGACTATTGACCAGTTATAATTTGGAACAGAAATTTGCTTCCATTACAGCAGTGTTAAGTGGGATTAGATCTATTTAAATGAAACACTGTGAGGAGTAAATAATTCTGTTTCTTGAAATAACTACATAATAAGTTTGGTTCATTCCTTGACATCTCGCGTAATTTTCATCTTCAAATAATAAACTGTAGATAACTATAATCAATTATTCAAGGGGTTATATTTTTGAAGATTCGCTTTTTTTGTCTTTTCTAGCTGAATATCTGAAATAAATCTGAACTGTTGTCAAATAACAATAATATGAATATCTAAGATCCAGCAGTGAACTGTGAGGAATAATAAAATAACGGTATTTATGTTGCAAAATGGGGGTTTAGAGAGAGCTCAGAAAATTATGGAAAACTTTAACTGCGATGCAGTCATGACGGGTTTCACCGGTGCTCGTAATCCTTTAACGGACGTCACTTAACATATTCCCATGAGCATGTTACACGTGTTAACTATTTAGGCAAAATTGCCATTTACGATAGCATGTTAACGTGTGGTCGTATATCTACACAATATTAGTTAAAGGAAATTAGTAAACATCATTATTAAATGGCACTGAATAACACTCTTTAGAAAAAAAAAACATGTTTGCTTTAAGGGTTGAAAATATGTTGGTTTTTTTTTCAATATCACTGTAGATGTGTTTGGGCAAACAACGTAAAAAGGTACTTTGGACAATTGCATAAAGAGAGAGAGAGAGAAATGGGGTTTAACGTCCACTCGACACAAACTAGGTCATTTCGGGACTAACATATGGTTTAATTTTATTTCAATAATTAACTATTTGTTAGTCCCAAAATGACCTAGTTAGTGTTGAGTGGACCATAAACCCCATTTCTCTCTTTCTCTCTATTACCAAACTGATCTGCAGTAAAGTTCCACTAGACTGCTTCATTCGCTGACAGGGATGAAATAGTTAATGAGGATTATTATTTAATCAAAAAATCAATCATTTTAAAGCAATATAATATCACACATGTAGTTACTGTTAGGGCTAAAACAAATGTCTATGTAAACAAATCATTGTGTTAAACCTATTGATCATTGTAGAAATATTGTCGTTGTGACATTGTTTTTTTAAATTTATAGACAAGGAATAGAGAAAAATGATGGCATTATATTGTATTAATTAATATATTTGACAAGTTATTAGATTCACATATATGTAGTATGTACTCAAATCAACTTAGTGAATGAATGACATATTTTTATATAAAAAAGTGTCATACTGTGCTAACATTCAATTCTAGGTTGATAACATAATTCTTGTGGGAAGTTTCGTCGGTATATTTCCATTTTCCATGTAATTGTATTTCAATGATTCCGATGCGTTTAGGAGGCTCTTTAGCAGTGTATAGCGGGGAGGGGGGGGGGGCATGGGACCCAGACCCAGACAAAATCCTCAGAGCCGGACAGATGACCCAACTCCTAATGTTTAAAGTATTGAGATTATTCATACCTAAATAAAAACAAATATCACAGTAAATATCAATTTAAAACACTGATCACAACACTTTATGTATATATAATTAAAAAACAATCAATGAAAATCAGAAATATACAATTAAAAATTTCTATAAAAATTTGTCTGTTTTAAAAAGTCTAATAATTTATCATACAGAGTAATAGAAAAGGCGTCAATTGGAAATAATCGACAGAGTTTAATAATAAACTTTAATCGTGGTTAATATAATTATTTAGTTTCTGATGATGAATCCAGGGACAACTAAACACAGTCTTTACAAACTGTATTTTCAATTCTTATTACTCAAACTATTTCAATGGGCACAAGAGATTGGTATATATTTAAAATATACAAAAGTCTGGTTGCCATGGTAACAGTTACAATCACAAAGTCCTAAAAAATTACAAGTGTCAACTTCACCCGTTCGGGTAATAAAACAAATTCACAGGGGGGTTGTTGTTTCAATAAGTTCATAACGTATAACATTGTAAGCAGTGAACAGGTGCGCGGACAGGTGAAATAGTTAATGCACTACAGTGATTAATAATGGCGTAAATATTTGTGTATCGTAAGACTTAATGCACTACACTAGTCATCTTCAATAGAAGGCTTGATCTCTTTTTAATTCCGTACATCCTAGATGTTGTAAAACTCACAGTCGTTGCTTCAGGAACATGTACAGTAGCTAGATATCCACTTGACTATCAATGTGCGCCTAATAAAATAATTTAGTTGTCTATTAAGCCCCAAATAACACACAAGACGTTCTATGTACATAGATATAAAGTTGGTCAAATGTGGTCGGTAGGTTTTTAGGGGAACAAACTGTAAAGTAGAATGTCAATTCGTTTATGAATTGTCTTATAACGTCTACATTCCCCACAAATGTTTTCCTCAAGTAATAGCAAGTGCAGGGGACTGCACCAAACATAATTTACACAAAACCAAATACATGGACAAGACATAATACCCAGACAAAAACAAATAAACAAATAATTTTAAAAAAGTGAATGGATCCGGAGGCTAGCCGTAAGCGTCATTACATATAGATTGTAATTACACGTTACCGTACCGTCCGACCTGCGCATGTGCAGCCATGAACACAACAGATACCATTATGTCGGAACCCTTTCTATTTACATCAGTTGCCATGTTCTCCAACCAGTAGCTGTAATCAGGATGCTAGCTTCACTTTCATCAACAACTAAACATTGTTTAGTTACTTTGTTATAACTATACTCCACACATCCACATGGTAAATCTTCAGTAGATGTCGCACATCTATCCGCACACTCTGGTGCACTTTCAGCATCATAACTCTTAACGGTTTGTCCATAAAGCTTTTTGTTTCCCGATAGCTTCTTCCAACCGGAAGTCAATACAGTGTCTAAAGGCGTATCTAAAATAAAACAATAAATACTGTTCTATTAACTGCTACAAATACTATATCAATAAAAATTAACATATATTCAACAAAATTAACATATATTCAACAAAATTAACAAGGGACTGGAATCTATGAACACTATACATGTATCTGCCTTCTGTTACGCAAATGACATGATTCAGGAACATGTCACTTAACGCCTATCAGATTATGACACACACATGGTTGGCACTGGTCTGACACGGTAAAATTCGTGACAGATTTTCTTGGACCTCGATTTGAAGGTGGTTTCTATAAGAATTTGACCCGCTGAATCAAATGAGCTTGGATATTCCGTCAAAAAGTCAAGGCTAATCCCGCTAGGTGGCAAAATTCAAAACGGAGGCTCATTTTGGCGGGAGTTCCCTAAAAAAGGGTGTGTAATATGTGTGGTTTAATGGTCGAGAGCGAGACATTAAGTAATATATTGTAACAACATGAGAACCTTGAGGCCCGAATGTTTTTACAATATATTACGCAATGCCTTAAG